AGTGCAGGTGATATTGCAAAATCAGAGGAGAGAGAGAGTGAATACCACTTTGTAGTTGGAATATATATATTTTTTTGTAGTCCTCAGTAAAAATGGAGAAGCTGTATGATTTATTAAATAATTCTACTTGTTTGCCCTTCAGTGGGTGGGCACCATTGACCTGGCTGCCAATGATGAGGCTGATGCCAATGTCATTGTCTCAAAGGATGCAAACTGGTCCACTCAAGCTGAAGCAGTCATGTCTGGTATGCTCTTCACAGTTTGTTTTTGTAAATACATTTTCTCTACAATTCATTATAAAAAGTATTTGAATAAGAGAGATAGCTAATGACATAATACATAGTATATCATAGTAGTTTTTTTTTTCAGTAGTAAATCTTAGTGGTACAATGTATATGAAAGTATGGCTACCACTGTGGGACCATGCTTATCTTTTAATGTATTCAGATATTGTACAAGGCCATAGTGTGTGATAACTAAATTACTGCATTTTTTACAGTTTTAGAAAGCCTTAATGAAATGCAGTGAAGACAAGAAATGTAATGAAAAAAATCAAGAATATATCTCTTTTTGTAGGCCTGGAAGGAGCCCTTGGGACAGATAAGGTGGATGCCATCATTAATGTGGCTGGTGGCTGGGCAGGTGGCAATGCTGCAAGCAAAGGTAAGTCATACATTTATGTATTTTTGTGTCAGGATGATTTCCAAATATATTTTACAAGCATATTCCTATGTCTGTAATTCAGGCTGAGGGGTTATCACATCACAAAAAATATGCTTTCTATAATCTACAATCTGATCTCTTAATGTGTTGTTTAATCCCAATGATTTAATCTATACATATATTTGTAAACAACATGAATGTCACTTGCAAAACCTTCTGTGGTCTTTTTAGGATGACAGCAGAATATTTTTATTATATTCAATATTATTTGATAGAAGTTAGTACACCTACACCTAGCTAAAGAACAATATCCCTGATTTGAGTCTGATTCCAGAAAATCAGTATTATTGTCTTTTTGATGGTAATATGAGAGGTTCTATATGCTTGGAGTTGTCCTATAATCATTTGGTATAGTTTAATAAAGCAACGTGTTTGGGGCATAATCACAACCAATCCCTTTTGTAGAACATATAGATTAATTGGCTTGTGAGTCATTCTCATGTATGTCCTGATCTGGTATGAAGTGTAGATATAGTAAAGTACTAAATGTAATATAGATGTGATGGAGAGTTTTTCCTTACATTACAAGATGCATAATGAATGCACATCATTTCATCCAGTTATTTTGTATTCCAGACTTCCTGAAAAGCTGTGAAATGATGTGGTCTCAGAGTGTTTGGTCATCTACCATCACTGCTCAGGCTGCTTCCCGTTTCCTAAAGGATGGAGGATTTGTTGCACTTCCAGGAGCCAAGCCCGCACTGGAAGGCACTGCAGGTATTGTAAGAAGATCAGTATCATACATCTTCTGATGAAGTAAAAAAAAATCACATCAGCCATTTCTGTTATCATTTGCTAACTACATTTCATTTATAGGAAATTATATGCCATGGAATATAATCATTAAGAGGCATTTTCACATTTCAAATGATACCTAGATTTTAATTCAGTAGATTTATAAACATGTGTTTGATATAGAAATATCATCTTCATTTATTCATTTTGTGAATGTAAAGCTCTTGTTTAGAGGCCATGTTCTTATTTTTGAAGGCTTTGAGGAGTGAAATTGTGGAAAAAGTTATCACTATTGATAATGTACCCCTTTTTTTTTTTTAGATAATTAGTACTGTACAATATGTAGTGATTCCATTGGCAATAACAGTTTTGTCTGTAAGTAGCATAGTTGCTAAGGAAAAAATACTTTTTAATCCTTTGCCTAAAGAAGCATATTTTGTTTGTAATCACTCCATTAGAAAGGAATAATATGTAGTATGTACCATTAGTCATTCCACAGCCTGCATTTACATACAGATGCTTCCTTCCATGTGCTCAGATTTGAATCACTGGGTCTCTCCTCAGTAAACTGGTGTTGATAAATCCACTTCAAGATACTGATAAAATTTTTACTCGTCCTCCAAAGGAATGATTGGCTATGGTCTTGCCAAGGCAGCTGTGCATCAGCTGACAAAGAGTCTTGGAGATGAAAAGTCTGGCCTACCAACCGGTGCAACAGCAGTTGCAATCCTTCCCATCACTCTGGATACTCCCATGAACAGGAAATGGATGTCAGGAGCAGATTTCTCCACTTGGACATCTCTAGAATTTGTTGCAGAGTGAGTTTTGTATTTTCATATTGAAAGGTTGGGTTACAGTTTAGTAAATGTGTACTTATCAGCTTGAGTCAACCATCATGGACCTTTAACCCAATGCCGCCGGGTATGACGTGTACGTATGTGCTATGCCCGCCGTGAGTACTTGTTTGATTGTTTTTATGCATAGATGGCAACACTTGTACTAACTCTCCAATGAGCCAACTACGAGTACCGCCCGTCTCGCCCGTTTACCCTTTTCTTTGATTTACGAAATATTTTACGTTATCTTATTTTGCTGTTACTAATGTTAAAAAACATTATAAAATTATAATGTTTATGATAAAAATAACACCATCGATTTTCATAGCACTAGTGAAAAATACGTTTTTCCTGCCATTTCATATCAGGCGCTAGCAGAGCCATCTATCGGCAGACATTTCACGAAAAACATAGAAAGTGGGCACAGCATTTTCCCCATTTTTTGTTCATTTTCCCTGGCGGCATTGGGTTAAGTAGTGAATCACAGATATTTAATGTAGCAATGCAGGCTTAGACATCCTTGGTATTGCTGCATTAACACATTTATTCAATAACATATTCTTGCCTAATCAGGTGATTTGTGGTCACAGACAGTTATATTATGATGTTTTATATATATCTCGGCTTCTCCTTTTTTTCTTTGCTCCAAAAACTATTATTGTTTTTTAAATATGATTTAATAAGCTCTTAATATTTCCATACTGATATTAATTTTCCAGCATGTAGAGGTTCGAATGCTCTTTAAATTTACAAGAACAGGATTACCTTTTGCTGAAGTTATCAAACTTATAATCTCTTCACAGGCTCTTCATGAAGTGGACAAAGGGACAGGATAGACCTAAGTCTGGCAGCCTTGTACAGCTCATTACCAAGGATAACAAGACCGAATTGGTAATGGTGTAGGACTGAAGTTGTGACTGTGCTTCCTTTTTTTTATTCTAGTTTCTTTAATTATCCGTTAACTTTTCTTATTTTGGTTTGGTTATGAATATGGAATCTTTTGTGGATATTGTGGCTGTCTTATTTTGATACTTGGATAATACTCATTGTTGTACTTGCTATATTTTTGAGAGTTATTTTTTATACCTTGATTTTTTTTATTTGATATCATCCATACATCATTTTCAGAAGTGAATTAAGAATTTATCAACGTTGAATACAAGTGCTATATCTCAATCCAGTGAGTAAAATATGTATATGTAGATGTAGTCAGTCCATACATTTCATTCTCCTTTTTTATCCATCAATTAAGAAATTATAGATAATTGATATTTCTTTAGATTATGGATTTTTTTTATGAAGTATTTTAGATTTGTTTCATGCATAGATTGAAATTGGGAATTTCCTCTTGTTGATTTCCGCACAAAAAAATTATCACATGAGTTGGAGAGCATTGTTTAAAAGAATTGCTGGAAAAGATAAGGCAGAAATATCAAAGACCATATGAGATGTATGGAATTATTGATCACAGTAACATTGTGCTGTCCCTGAAAGTGCCTAGTTTTAATGAAAGAGTATTAACAATTGTAGAGTATATTTTTATACTTATTTTGTTGATGTTTATGCTTCCCATCAAAACACAAAATCGTTACAGAAGAGAGAGGAGTGGTATTAACACTTTATTGTGCTTCCTAGATAACCAGTGAATGAATATATATGAAAATTACCATCAAAGTGCTTCTCAATGTTTAGTCATCCTATTGCTTTCCAGATAACTTAGGAGACTAAAAGGTACATAAAGAAAATTTTGGCTGGAAATTGCACAAAACCTGTAAGGTTCTTTTATCTGTTTAGGTTACCCATCTGAGTAAAGCTGAGTGAGTTATGAAACTGCACTGGTATTTCCTAGTTCAGTTCTTGATTCCTAGCTATCAAAGTGTTCTCAAAGACAAAGAACTTCAATGTATGCGGACTGAAATTGTCATCAATGTGCTTGGGAGAATATACATGTACAGGATGAGAACATTAGTGTGTTAGTTTAGTAGTATTCTAACCACACTTAATCTAGTTCTTTCTGTTACATTGTGTATAGACTTGATCTTTGTGATACATGTCTGACGTAGAGATTAATACGAATAACCTTTTAAAGAAATCCATCTGTATTCCAAAATCAAGAATATATATGCATTATAATTGTGATGCTATCTGCTGAAGTGAAGTAGACAAAATATAAAAGAGGTCAAGAAAAACAGATTGAAGTTTGGTGATCATTGCTTATCAAAAACGTAACAGAAGTGTCGAAACATGGAAACAAAATGAGATAACAAGTTGAGTTTAATTGGAGGGTCCACCTTCCCAGTTTCTTTGTCTCCTCACCACCTGTAGTACAGTATGATGTTTCTACCATTTTTCTTAGGCATTTGTATGAAAAGTTTTCATTAACAACACCTCTTAATCTGAAATCTTGCCTGAGAATGTATGTGGCCAATATAAGGTAAGTGATATCTCAAATGTCACTTACTTCACTTCAACAGTGAGTGTCACAGTTGTCAAGACAATGAAAAAAAATTAGTGTATATGTTTTGTGCTTCCTGTTATACACTTTTATTTTTCATTGTTTAGCCTGTTTAAACACCATCTCATAAATCATTTGAAAGGAAAAGATGTTGGAATATAAAGTAAATTGTTATACCATTTTTAAATTGGAACTGATTTATTCCTAAGACATTCCAGCTGTGGCAATACTTGTGCTTCCTCTGTTTGAAG